TAAACCAAGAACTATATGCAAAGAGCCTCAAAAAAAGTATGAAACTAAGGAAACAATAGGTATCAGTCTACATAAAACTAAAAAAAGGTGCAGTTGAAGTTATTTTCCCTTAAAATATTATTTAACTCTTAATAGTTGACTTTTATTTTCTATATGAATGTTGTTATTTTCTTTTATATCTTTAAAAATAAAGCTATGATCAGTTGGCCTGTGAAGAAAAACACAACATTGGTTTTTATTTTTATTTTTATTTTGGAGAGGTTTTTGCTATAGAGCGCGGGCGCTCGCCATACAGACAGAGAGAGACAGAAAGATAGAAAGCGAGAAATCACCCCCCAGGGGGATGGTCATGCCGCAATCCCTTCTCCTCCAGTCTCCTCTCGGGATCTTGGGCACGCACACGCACCCGGCGTGAGTTTTAAGCCACCGGGTCCGGAACACGAACCACAGTCAACTATGTGGGAGTCCAGCGACATAGCCATTACGCTAACTGCTGGTCCCAAAATCACAACATTCTTAAGAAAAATGTAAAAAAAAGCAATTTAAGGGCCAGCCAATGGCTTGATGGTTAAGGCATGGATCTCCCATGGCCGACTACAGGATGTGAGTCCTAGATCTAGAAGCTTGAAAAACACACCAAGCACATGTGCTCCAAATCCTGAGAGAATGGAGGAGAAAGAAAAACAGTGTGGCCATCAGCCCTTAGGAATGCTTTCTCACTTTCTCTGTCTCTCTAGAGCAAGTACAAAGTACACATTTTTAAAAATAATACTTTAAGACACAAGTATAAGCTTAGAAATGCAAAATTCCAACATACAGTAGAAATAGCACAATCAAATGCAAATACTTAGGTTATCTAAACAATTTCTGTTTTTCATGTTTATTAAGACCATGAGATAACTCAAACCAAAAATATTTATTTTCTTTATCTATGAGGCTTTCACTACAAAGCCTATCTTATGAAAAGCAATTTAACTAGAAAGACATTCTTTAGATAAAATTATATTGGTGATAGCATGAAAGAACAGGTTGTTATAACTGTCTCAAGATTTTTGCCATCAGACTTCATCACTATCCCTTGGATGTAACTTAAAAGATCGGCAAGACAGTATTGAAATGTATGAGGTCAGAAAGACCCAAACACTGAGTGGTATGACTATGTGAGGCTAGGTTTTGTTTTCCCATTGAATCGTTCCTCTTAGGTCATTTAACTACTTTCGTTTTGGATTTTTAAAATAGGTTTTGCCCTATGCCAAGCCTACCTTTTAAGGAAAATAAAATAACAAACAGTAAATTCTAGGATAAATCATATATTTTTAAAGGGTTTACTAAGAACCTTCTTGAGAAAAATCAAAACTGTGATAATTGCATCTACCACGGTTTAGAGAGATCCTAGAAGGGGTGGCCAACCTTAAGCAGCATAAAATGCCTTCGGCTAGCCTCAGCACCCAGCCACTCACTAATATGTGATTTCTAATTACTTTTGTAGTTTGTCACTGTTTAACACAATCAAATCTAATTGACCAGAAAATTTTGGTTAGATCGTACTAAGCTGTGACTAAATTTTTACTGTTATTATTCTGCTTTCTTTGTGAACATCTCAACTTTACTGCATCATTAAACTTTAAATTAGATTTTGATAATAAGAATATTTTATAAAATTTTAAAGCAACTGCAATATTCACATAGGAACTACAGTATTTTTAAAGCCACTACCATATCTTTTTTAAAAATTTAATTCATACTCATTCTTTCTGGGTCATTAAAAACAATGGCACTTGATTTTAATTAAACACTTAATTTGAAAGCTGTAACTAATAAATGTCAAATGCTAAAGGTGAACTTATGTTAAGTGGGTACCAGAACTCTCTGCTAGCATGAAAGGAATTCAAGTCTGAAGGTTCTTGGTTTCAAAATCACTGAGAAGTACAGACAAGAAGGGTGACAATTAACTACCCCAGTTTAGATGCTTCATTACTTTATTCTCATGGTGAGAGTCAATGAACTAAACAGTGGGTAAGACATTCTAGTCACTAATTCTGTAAGCCTACAAGAAGAATGAAGAAATAACTGTGTTTATTCTTTAAATTTCTACTATGTTCACAAGCTCTACATTTCACCAAAGCATTAAATATAAACGTACATGAATTCCCAAATTAAAGGGGATTTTTAAAATGCTTAATTACACTGGTAATTTTTTTCTTCTTTTTAAAAACTGCTTCTGCAAAAAGAGATAAAAGTTTGAAAGGTGACATCACTAGAAAGCCTCCTTACATAGCATTATCTTACCTTAGTGAACACTTTCACTTATACACTTATTCTTATTTTTCACGATATATGAAAGCTTTCAAAAGACATATAAAACATTGAATATTTTTTTATAAAAGGAACTGACATGTTTTGTTAATACAAGATGTGTTGTGGGTCAACCAGGACATGATCTAACCAGCTCCGATCAGTTTAGCATTGACATCTACCTTCTCTATCTTCGACGCGGCTATTAAAGAAATAGACAGCAAACACTCAAAATCATCACAGCATTCCGGGACCGTTAGATCTAATGGAAAGTCACTTAAAACATTATTTTGGGATTACATATTATAAGGCAGGAAGAGTTTCTCCTAACACATGGAAAGACCACCTGAGAGACATAACACATTTAAGAAAATATCTCTATTCTCAAAACAGAATGTGACTGCAGTAACTTGAATAAAATGCCCACAATCATGGAGTAAAAATCTACACAATCAATAAGGGTAAGAAAGAAGAAAATACTGGAGATGCCCAGTTAAAGGCATGAAGATCCCAGCTCTCTCTAATCCCCCCTTTATCACTGGATAGCAAGCAACTGCCTTCAGTCTTGGGTTCAGTTTTCTCATAGGCAGAAATTTATATTTAATTTGAGCAAAAGAAAACAGACAAGACCTCAAGAGTATATTGATTTGGCCTACTTCCCATTTTTCACTAGTTCTGTTGCCTAATAGCATTAAGGTCTAATAAAATGTACTTATTTTCTCAGCCAAAACATAGGTTTGAAATGTAGTAAAGGTGATAAAAAGGCATAATTACGTGCCATTGCTGTAAAGAAGGAAATAAACACAAACAGAAGAGTAACAGCTGATGGAACTAGAAAATTACATTAGGAAATCAACTATCAATACCATTTTTGCAGGAAATAATATTTAATTAAAGTATTAGTTAAGATTTTATTAAAAAAGAAACCAGAACTTTTAAGTATTTATTAAAAATCCAAAGCTAGTCCTGCACCGGTGGGTGAACTTCCTTCTAATAGGCGGACGTGGTTTTTTGGTGAAAATCCCAATGAATCAATAATTAGTAGGCTAGGCTTTATCCTTGGACAATAGTACCAAATTCAAAGTTCTCATTTCAGATGAATAAATTCAAAAAAAGAAAAAAAAAACTCAGAAAAAATACTAAACTGATTAACCAAGTAAAAATGGGATGTTAGAGTAAAAAATCACTTTCCCCTCAACTTTATGGTAAAATTTAAAGAAATTCAAACCTATTTTTATTTAAGTTATTTATTTTTCATTGCTTTACAGGAACACATATAGATCAACAGATGCTAGGAAATGTTGTAAATGTTTTATATAGTAACAAAATTTGATAACCATATACTCTTTGGAAATGAACTCAATTTTTTTCAAACCAAGTGCCAAATTCAATTCTCCTCTGCCTCCACCCCATTGGGCCCCCTCTTTAATTGTTCCTTTGCCCACTATAAAATGTTTGACACTGAACACATTATAAGGGGCATGACGGCCTTCCCCAAAGGCCCACCAAGTGCTACTGAATCCTGCCCAGCCACTTCATAAATAGGCTTCATCCAACTGATTTTTTGTTCTTTCTTTCTTTTTGCTGTGGGATGTGTGTGCTCTCCAGAGACAGACAGAGCGAAAGTGAGAATCTCCCTACAAGGTGGATGGCCATGCCACAATCCTTTCTCCTTCATTCTTCTCTTGGGATTTTGGGCATGCATGCACATGCGTCCTTGTAATTTTTCAAACCACTGGGTCCAGGATTCAAACCACGTGTGGCCACATGGGAGTCCAGCACATTAACTACCATGCCACCTGCTGGCCCCTATAATTGACTCTTTAAGGGATAGGAATTTGTCACCTTTCCTAGATATTGACCCTATAAGGGATAGGAATTTGTCACCTTTCCTAGATTTAATCTAATACCATGGAAGCATGGGGAGGCTCAGAAAGGTTAAGTGATTGATCCATGTTCTCAAAGTGTATTTGTGACCTGGCCAGGTCTGGGTAGGTCTCCTAGGCCTTGGTTCCATGCTGTCTTCTGGGCCTTGGTTATCTGTGCCATGTTTATACATAGTCAGCCCGAACCAGCACTTGAACACTGAGGACAGCTAATGCTTTACAGACAAAACTAGTTTAAGGGTACATAAGCCTCGCCTCCCCTAAAACCAGAAGGTGCCAAGAAGAACTGTGAGCTTTCTTTAGTATAAATCTCCAAGCCCCGATGAGTAAATGGGAGTCACAGCACACATATGGCCATATACAGAAAAACGTTCCTTCCAAAGGCCAACAAACTGCATAAACTGCATAGTAACGCAGAAGTAGTGCACAGCCCTGCTGCACCACATACTGCATTACTGTCAGTTTCTAATAAAGCCAATTTAAACTAAGAAAAAAGACTAATTTGATCAGTTATAATAATATTTACAATTGTACAAAGAATTGGCACATACAAGGCCAGGAGGTTAGATCTGTATCAACAATCATGAAAACTACAAGATTTATATAATGTTATCCACTGAAAATGAGCTCAAGTCCATAAAATAAAAGATGAACATAAACTGGACTACCTAAAACATTTCCATGGAATACCTGTATTCTTTTCTTTCCTAGGAATTAGTAGCTTTTTGTATACTCCAGAAATAGGCCAAGTCACCTTATTAAAAGTTGATTCAAGAAGAGGAAAAGTCTTACTTTGTAAGTAAGGTAATTAGGTCTTACCTCAATTGAATGATCCTAGTGCAACTGGAGGGTCTCTGCAGGCTCCAGGAGGCTGACCATGTGAACCCAGGGCTCTTCACACAGGTGTCTAACAGTCAAAGCCCATTTCCTTTCATAAATCAACAACAAGAAGTGATAAGTTTAAATTAGGAGCTGTAACAGATCATTTTTCAGGTGCCTTCTAATTTGTGGTGTTCAGCTAATGGTTTTATTCTTACTTCATCAGTTCTTTTCACTGTAAGCAGAATGAAATTCTTCATTCTTTGTGCAAGTCAAGAGTGTATAAATCAACATGTTATTAAAGCACAGGTTTTATCTCGAGGGCAACTGTGGACACAAACATACAAATACTTTTCTCTCTTTCATTTTTACACGTTTACATTTGCATCTTAATTCAGCAAGCATAAATAGCACGGTTTGTGCACACACTAGTAAACTAATGAAAGGAAAACAGAAGATGCAGAACTAGAGGCAGCATTTCCCTGGGGAAGGATTTACCAATGGAAGACACTTATATAAGAAAGAGCACATCTAGGACTGAAAGCCTGGCTCTTCCTGGGAAGACATCTGTGACTTTAGGTAACATCCACAACTCCTTAAATCTCAAACCTTGTAATAAGGATGAAAATAGGTAAGTTGCAGACCAGCTATAATGCTTAGAGACATTGTGTAAATGTGTTTAACATCTTGCTCAGCATGTACTAGGTGCGCAATAAAAAACTGACAGCATTATATTTTAAGACATTACTTCATTTCCTTTTATTTTATACCCTGTTACACCACAACTGGTTATTCTACATTTAATATAAATGCCATTAATTATAAAGTTGCTTATTTTTATTCCCCCATTATTTTATCTTAACTTTGAAATATTTAATACTCAAAACGTAATCATATCCTTCTTTTTAAATTACTTCACCCTGAATAATTTCTTTGACCCTGATATTATTTTCTTTTATCAGAGTCAAATTACAGTGTTGTGATCAGGAAAAAAAAAAAAAAACAAAAAAAAACTACCCCGATTTTAGGTAAGTTTACTTTCTCTTTACTCACCCAATCCTTTTCCTTCCCTTTTAAAAGCTCACATCTTCCTTAAGATTTACATCATAAAAATTAATAACATATCCTAAAGTCTTCAACTACCAGAATAAAATGACAAACTATGCCATTGGAATCCCTGATTCAGTGGCTTGAAAAACATGCCGCGCATATGTGCGTGTGTGCCCAAAATCCCAAGAGCAAAGTGGAAGAGAAGGAATTGTATAATGGTCATCCCCCTCTAGGGGATGCTTTCTCACTTTCTCTCTCCTGTGAACGCAAGTGCCTTATCAGAATTTTTAAAAAATATTTTAAAAGAGTAACCCATCCTCTAATGATGTGTGGCAACCTTAAAAGAAGAAATCAGGGGGACCAGCAGTTGACATAGTGGCTATGTCACTGGACTCCCATGTAGTCAACCACGGTCCGAGTCCCGGACCCGGTGGCTTAAACTCACGCCGGGCACATGTGTGTGCATGCCAAGATCCTGAGAGGATAATGGAGGAGAAGAGATTGCGGGGTGGCCATCACCCTGGGGAGCGATTTCTCACTTTCTGTCTCTCTGTCTTTCTGACGAATGCACGTGACCTATAGCAAAAACCTCTCAAAAAAAGGAAGAAGATGAAGAAAAAATTGGAGAGCCTGCACGACCTCCTCTGCAACAATGCCCTATTGGGAACAGCCACCTGGCACCTTGATCTTGGACTCCTCAGCACTCCCAACAGTGTGAAATGAATTTGTTGTCCAAACCTCTAAACCACCCAGTTTATGGTATTTTGGTATAGTGGGATGAGAGACTAATATATCAAATAAATGCTTTAATTTGATAATTAGTGATATTACATCATCAGTGTCGATACAAACATGCATACACCTGCAGATTAATTTTGGAGAATAAAAGGAATGAGGACTGAAGAACATTAAAGAGCCCTACTCAATTCTCAGCTTTAAATGTCTCAAGGGTCCATTCGTGGACAAAGGTATAAGTTGGACAAGAAATACATGATCATCTTAGTATAAACGTGGACTTCTGCTCCCTCTCAACGTTGAAAGTGAAGAAGGAGCAGGAACCACAAAGGTGTAGCCATGGTCACAAAGAGGCTTATGTCTTCAATGCCCAGTCACAGGAAAAGCTAACATGGGACTTTGCTCCTAACCTTTCTCTTGGCATCTCACTGGATTTAAAATGGCATTTTGCCATTGGCATCACTGCATTTGCTTAAAAACCTAAGTACATAGACTGGGTTAAGTAGCTGAAAAGTCATGAGTCATCCAGTCTAACATAATGCCTTTGACCAGACCTGCTTTATCCAACCTCAAATTGTAGATTCTATTCCCTAAATGAAATGAATCCTAGTCTTTTTTTGTATTGAAATGTGTTATTCAAGATTTGATTTTCTCAGATTTTCAGGGAAACACCTGAATTAGTTCCTGTGGGCCTTCCAAATATTGTCCTAAGTAAGACTATTGGAACTGTAAGAATCTCAGCAATTACCTCACTCAAAAATCATAGCAACATCTACTGCCAACTCTCACTAAGAGTTTTATTTCATATTAGACTCCATATCAACCCTGTACCCAATTTTTTAACACTTAAATCTCAGAAATAAAGAGCCCTACTTACCTATGAAGATTGTACACACACACACACACACACACACACACGAAGTCCATTAAATAGCATATTATTGTATCAGAAGGAAAAATGTTATATTACTCTTTGAAAATTGTCCTTGATTTGGATGATAGTTTGATACAAACCAACTTATTTGGATTATTTAAAGCACAATATATAAAAGAAAAAAATGCATGTAAGTTCTGACAAAGTATTTTAGGATTAATAAAATATTAGCAATAAATTTTGTATGCTTACTATTTTATTAACTTATAGATGATGACTACTTACTTTTCCTAAAACAGTTTTATTTAAGTGGCTCTTAATCAAGGATTAAATAAAAATTCTCTATCGCATAATTTCACTTTCAATTTAATATCCATTGAAAGCCCACCATAAACTAAGCATATCAGTCCAAATGCACAGGGATGACTTTGGGGTACTTTAATGTCTTGAAATTTGAAGGCTCTTAAAAGCAAGGATGAGGCCGTGGTGTATGTCCCCGGAATCTACCCTGTGCTAATAGAGAGAGTAGGCAGTACATGTTAGGAAATGGGATTTGCAATTCGGCATTTCTACATATTCCCACAGTCCTTTTCACGTCCTGGAATCCTCACAATCCTTTGGAAAAACAGCTCACTCCATGGAGACTGTCTTACTGTCCTTCCTGAGACATTTTTCCTGCTCTCTTGCCTCTTTTCTACTCATTCTCCAAGATTCACTTATCCATGATGACGTGTTTCAGCACTGCATTTAATTTCATTCATGTTATTTCATGGCTATACTACGCTAAACTCAAATCTATTGGAGAACAGTAGAAAATGTGAGTTTACACTTCTTATCTAACCTCCACAGAACATGGCTCGAACTGGGCACTTAGTGGATGGCTACTGTGTTGGATACAGCCAGTTTGGAAGCTAATAAAGATGCAAGTCTCTTGATGAATTAGCGTAAGGATTAGAAAACTCTGATCCTTAGCCAAATTTTGTCTGCTGTCTGTTTTCATAAATGAAATTACATTGGGAAAAAGCCACACCCAGTCAGGTATGTATTATCTATGGCTGTCTTCCTGCTATAACAGAGCATTGACTAGTTGCAACAGAAATGGTCTGGCCCACAAGCTTCAAATATTTGTATCTTGTCTATTTCAAAATAAGTTTGCCAACAAGTATTAGTTTAGTGGGTCTCTAGTGTGGGGCCTTAACAAGATCTTCTTCATATTTTAAAGCACTAGGATTATACAATACCCTGTGATCCAGGGATTCTTAAAGGGTGATCCTTAGACCAGCAGCCACAGCACCAATTAGGAAATGCAAAATCTCAAAGGCACTCAGGACTACTGGTCAGAAGCTCTGGGGTTGGGATTCAACAATTTGTTTTTGCCACCCACACGTGCAAGTGATTCTAATGTACAGTAAAATTTGAATACCACTAGTTTAGATAAACCAAAAAATATTAACACCTGTCCATAATGACTTGTTTTGGCTATGGCAGATGTAGTTTCTTCAAAAATATTCTAAAGAAATGAAAAGATATCAATTACATTTCACCTGAAATAAGACACCATCCATTTACTCTGCAAGGACACTATGGAGCAAGATCATTTCCACGTGGGAATTGCTGCAGCACTTTCAGTAAATGCTAATAGTCACCAGCTGCCCATCCAAAGGAAAGACAATATACCAAGCGCCAAGTGTAAAACCTACCTAAAAATAGATTAAATATCAAAGCAATATAGCAGATAAGCTCCAATTTTTACAGGACTGCCTGTCAAGACAAACCTTTGCACAATGATTCAGTGGGGACACTGCAGCTCAGTAAGGGACTCATAATCAAAGACCTGTTCCAACACGCATGTCCCCTGCTCAGAGTTACAAATGTGGTCCGATAGCACCTTTCCATGACAGTGCCTGGGTAAAAGTAAGAAGTAACCACCCTAAGACTTGTGTAAGGCAGTGACTAGATAGCACGCCCTATGAAAAAATATTAAAACCACATGGTAAAATAAATACAATCTTCACAAAATAAGGTATGTTCAAACTTGGCAATAAATTACCTTTCTTTTTTGTTTTTCTCTAAAGCACAGGCTAGTACCGGCAGCTCTGACTATGATATAAAAAGGCTATAATACCCCCCTCCCCGGAAAAGGGCAAAATATTGACAAGACAGAAGCACAGTAAAGCCATATCTTTTGAAAGACTCTTACTTCAATGTAGTAATTTTAATGCTATAAGTTTGCCAGCTATATCAGGAAACAAACAGTAAAACTATTTAACCTATTGAAGAATTTCTACACAAAGGTTAAAAATAACATATGTCAATCAATAAGAATAAAATATTGACTGACAGCCTCTAGAAAGTTCACATTATTTCGTCGTCATAAAAAAATCGTTATGTTTCTGCACAGTGATATAACCATTATTTCTCTTTTGAAAATGGCACATAGATCCCATGTG